TCCTTGATTTTAAGAAAGTGATCACTAAAAATTATCTTTTGTTCTCAGTTAAATTTGTTTACACTTTTTAAAGGAATGTGTGGCATTAAAGTTGACAGTTTCTTAGCTAAAGATGAGAAAATTAATGAGTTCCAGTTCACTAGCAATTACCGAAACTCGCCTTTTGTTTTGTCTCTCAATTACAATTCGTTACGTTTGCTAAATGGAATGTATGACAAGGAAGACATCCATGTCCATTCCATGTCTTATTGTTCTTTGCTTGTTATCTCGTTAGAAAAACAAATAGAATCTAAACACAATAATTAACTACACTGAAAAATTAGCAAGAATGAACTACAAACAAAAGAGAAATTATTGTTGCATACTTGTTAAATCAATGAGTTCCGATCCACAGTGACGGCTGGAAAAAAAAAACGTTTGGATTTCTTGTAACAAAAAATAAATTAAAAAATAAGACTTGACTTTTCACCTTATTGGTCTTTATATTTGGAAAAGATTCTTCACATAATTTGAATTGAGTATCAAATGACACACTTACAGAATAAATTATAGTTACTAATCTGATAATTTGAAAAAAATTCGTCACCCAATGAACAGTCATTTTCTCGTCTTTTAGATCTTCTGTAACTTTTAGAATACTCACTAAAATTATAATCTGCACCCCTTTCTAATTCTCTATTTTGTATCTTCGATCTAGGCATGTAACCTATCATATTTTCTTGATTTACATTCATTTTCTCAGTCTTGGGTTGTGTCATTACATGGAGATATACGTTATACGCGGTATACATTTCTTTACTTCATGCAAGTGTCCATTTTGTGTGATGATGTAGCTGTTCAATACCTTACTCATTTTCAAAAACTAAGAATCGAGAGCACAATTGAGTTCTTCTGAACACACTTCCAAACAGGCAATTTGTTCTCGTCCTATATTTCAATTTTCCCATGGTCTTCTATTGGCAAATAAAGAATGGATTATGGTAGAGTTTTAAAGAATTTGCAGTTCATACTTTTATGGAGGAAGTCCAAATGAACTCGAGTCATTTACTTAAATTTTTCAATGTTGACAATAGACCCTGTCAAAGCAAAATGTTTCAGTTGCTTTAATTGTACACAAAAACCACGACTGGGTTTAAGGGAGTGAGTTGATGGCGTTGAACTTTGATGAGGCCATCTGGAAATTATTCTAATGTTCTTGCTATCTCATTTTTGAACGACAGATTGCGTACTTTGAGAATCTTAAATGTAGTGTTGTCCCTTCCTCCCCTGCCTCCATACTTCTCATTTTATCGAGCAATATAAATCATTGGCGTGGTTTCTTTCTTTCAAATAAAAAAAAAATGAAATTTTCCTTGATATATGTAGAGGCATTTGATCGAGAGAATCTTTATTTTTCTCATTAGTGTTTGTAGTAGGAACTTGAAACAGAAATACTTGCAATGTGGGTTTGGTGTGGAAAACGAATGGAGTTTGTTCTCATGAATTCCACATATATAACTCAGATCCTGGTTTGTCAGCAGTCAACTTATTTTACCATTAGATTCTCAACGAACATGCTACGATTGTTCTTGAGAACATACTGCGGTTTTTTAGAATTGTTCTTGGGGGCTATCTTTATTTTCTCTGTGGTGCCACGTTATTCATGGTTTTTTGTATTTTATTGAGTCGATTCTGGAAAAATATATACTCTATTAAAAACAACCTAGTCTCGGTACCAAACAAATATATTACACATCCATTTGATTTGGCATATCCATTCTTTCATATTATGCTCACAATTATAAGATTGATGAATCCTGTTTTATTGGTTTATCATGTGATGAATATATATATTGAACTATGAACTCATCAATTACAAGGATTCACAATATACAAAAATATTTCCTTAGCACATATATGTATTACATCGTACAATTGTAAATGGAATACAACTAGACACGACTGAAAAATGAGCACATCTGAGTTTTAGGCATTGCTGAGATTAGCTAGTAGACAATATCACATATGCTAAAATTTTACAAATTTGTGAAATGCTTCTCTGAGTTGGATTTTGCCGATGGCTATCTTTACATACAACCAATCCATTACGCTATTCCACAACTTGAAAAATGCAATCCTCCACGAGTTATTGAACACTAAAGTGCCCCATACTCCCCAAAATCCAAAAATGAAACCAACTGCCATACTAATGTAAAATCCGTCATTGATAAGCTTGTCCTCATCTTCCGAGTTTTTCATCCCATCAGCATTATCACCGATCGTTGGGACTTGAGCAATTTCATCTCCTGGACAAGCTTTTGTAAGTGGAAGGCCACAAAGTCCAGGGTTTCCCTCGAATGCAGAAGCATTGAAAGTTAGTAAATGAATGCTTTTTGGAATTTTGCCCGACAAGTTATTGTACGACACATCTAACACTCCAAGTTGATCCAATTGAGAAATGCCATTAGGAATACCACCAGAGAAGTGGTTTCTTGAAAAATCAAGAAAATCCAAAGACCTTAGTCGTTCAATATTTGTAGGGAGGAATCCAGATAGGTTGTTTCTTGAAATGTTCAATCCAACTAGCATTACAAGACTGGCAATTTCAGCAGGAACATCACCTACTAAATTGTTGTTTGAAAGATCAATGAGTTTCACCAGATGAAGAGTATTTATGTACTCGGCCTCCTTTCCTTTCCATGTTACAAATGCACTTATGAAGCCTCCATAGTATTCAAATGGCCTTTCAGACTCAAAATCCACTTGAATCATAGCAGTGAGATTGTTTAGGCATTTTGGTATACCACCAGAAATCTTGTTTGAAGAAAAGTCCAACACTTGTAAGTGTGCAAGATGACACAAGTTTGAAGGAATA